AGGAAGTACTAAAAGCTCATTTGTATCCAAGACAGCTGACAGATCAGAGACAGTGAAGATGGATTAGGTTCAGAGCCTTGCCAGAAGAGAAACTATTAAGCTCTTATTGAGAGTGGTTTTGGTTAAACATTCCACAGAAGCCAGACCAGAAAGATGCCTACAATGAAACGAAGGGAAAAGGTCTTTTGATGAAGATGCCTAAGACTGCATAAGGACCCCAGGCAGCCAGCAGAATCACTGACCCTTGGTAATCTTCAATAGTCAGCTGGACAAGAATCTGAGCAACCTGATCTGACTGTGAAGTTAGCCCTGTACTCAGCAGGTTGTGCTGCAGGTCTCCAGAGATCACTTCCAACCTGTATCACTCAACAGGTTGTCACATTAACTGACTGACCTTGAGGGTGGCAGCAACATTGGAGCAAAGAGCACAGTGTTTTGTGGTGTTTTGTTAGATGAGAAAGACTACAGGTGTGAGACTTCTGCAGATTAGGTTTCATTTTTTTGTGCTTGTTGAGCCCTCAGATGGGTATAGTTATTACTTTTATCTTAACGCTGAGAAGGCCCTTTACTTGATGTGTTAAGAACACATCTGTGTTCTGTCATCTTTAGTCTGATCAAGTGGAATAGTGACCTGACTGGCTTAGGGTTTTTTCACTTGCTTAAAGCATAGGGCATAAGTTTGCATTTAGGAAATGTTAGGATTTTCTTGTATGTAAACAATTGTATATTCTTCTTCTTTGGACTAGGTTCTCTATATGACCTTTGTGAGTGTAAATTCAGAGCTAAAACAAAAACTTATGGTCCTATAGAAAAGGACCCTCATATTGGTAGATGATCCTTAAACTTAAGATCTTAATAATTGCTTCTATACCAACCTGCAGAGTTTTGTGCTAATATTTGAACTCTGAGAGCAACATTTATCATAACTGCCTTTAAAAATCTATTTACATTGCTTATTAGCAAACTGGTATTTTTCCCTGTCCAGTTGAGTAACATTCATTTATTTAACCCATGTATCTTCATAATAAAGCTTTACTCCTTGTATAGCTGAGTCTATATAGTGTATAGAAAGTTTGAAGATGGAACATACCTGTACATTGGAACATTTCTTCCTTTCACCCAGGTATTTATGGTTGATTTATTTGCATCATACCTTCATTTTCTTTTCTTAATTAGAAAATGGAGAATAACTGTGCTTACATAATATTTAAAACTCCTTGAAATTTGCAGTGGAAAAGCACTTACTGTGTAAGTGCTAAACATTTTGCTGTTTTGTTTCTTTATTTTGGTGTGGGATAGAGAGTACAGTAAATACGTAAATACTTGCATTCATATGCCATGTGTTTTCAAAACAGAAACATGCATATCTGGAGAACCTTCTGGTTTCATATTTTACCCTTATAAAATATTTTTTAAAACAGCAGCTTGTATTATTTAACTGTGCTGCAAAAATATGGAATGTGGATTAGTATTTTTGAACAAATGGGTACATCCTCAGGGAAGATACAGTGGAATCTGCATTACAATCTAAAGTAAGTTTTCCTCCAAGTCCTTAATCCTGCTCTCCATCCTCCCCAACCCCATGAAATGCAAGCACTTCTAAACAAGGTCAGTGGCTTTTCTGCTACAGTTCTTTATGTGCACCTCATAGTCTGTGTATCTAGCTTCTGGATTTGCTTTTTATTATTATTATTGTTATGTTTCTATGATCTTTAGTGCTGTATTCCTTTAGGCTCCAACAATGCAACAAATATTCCCCTTTTGGACTCTGTTTGACTTTGTCTGGTCCACTACCATGCACAGGTGGTTTGTCTTGGTGTTCCTGCCTGATCCTGCCTGTTCCTGCACACATACAGAGTATAATTCATGTTGAAGTGCAGGAAGGACCTGTCCAGGTGTTGTCCACTGGTCTCCTTTTCCCCACAGAACCTTTTCTTGTCAGTGTCTCCATGCATTAAAAGTACATATGACTGAAGATGAATCAATATAATGATAGATGATTTAATCACTTATTTACTGGTAAATGTCTCTTGTAAGTAATGACACTGTTCAGTTTGAAGACCAGTCTCTATCTCGAAACTGCAACAAGACTATGGAGGATTAGTTTTGGCTGGCAACAAGAAAGATGCTTAAAATGCCTAAAGGGTTAACCTTAAATGCTAATCTGGTTCTCATACCTTGAAAACTGTCACTACTCCTGTCGAAAGCTTAAACTCCCAAACCAGACAATGTACAATTGCTGAGGACAGAGAGTCTTGTTGCCTTATTGGGAAGTCAAAGTGAGTCTTAAAGTCAAAGTGTTTAAGGTGAAGAGTTTTTACTGAGTCATGGAAGATTCTTAATATTTTGCACAATCTGAAGATTAACTTTAAATGAGAAATGTCTTTGATGAAGGGTGTAAGGCAGCAGAAAGGCCTCAGGGGTGGAGGGTTACCTAGTTTATGTAAAACATGATCATCTGATAAATTCTTCAATAAAATTTACATTTAAGAATTTTTCAGTTCTGTTCTTCCTGAGCCCATATACAAGAAAGACGAAATGCTTTCTTTCTATTTGTTAATATATTCAGAACAGTACGTAGGAGTTGGGTCTGACTAATAGTTTCTTTATTCTTGCTATTAGCAGTAGTTTTCAGAACTTCAGCAACAGTGCTCATAACATCTATGATTTTTTCATTTTGATCACACAGTCACATATTATTCATGTACCATCTTTGGCTTGCATACATTCTATACTCTTGAAGGGTATCTTTAGCGTATACTGTAGCATTGCTCTGATAAAAGCAAGATACTTTTTTGACTAATTGAAGTTCAGAATTTTGCTTTGAATTACTGTTAAGAATACTATATACCCATCACACATCCATCACACATCCAATAGAGAATATTGCTTCTGGCTGAAAACAGAAAGTAAGTTCACCGAGGAATACTAACTTTCTGCTTTTCTACCTTTTTTTTTTTTTTTTTTTTTTTTTTTTTTTTTTTTTTTTTTTTTTTTTTTTTTTTTTTTTTTTTTTTTTTTTTTTTTTTTTTAATTGAATTGGGAGTAAGCAAAGATTTATTTGTCATTGCTTTATGTGTGAAACTTTTGGTAGAGTTCTATTTGTTCCTAATCCAAATGCAAAATTCACATCCTGAGAAAATACAAATTGGACTAAGGTTTTTGAAATGGAAGTAAAGGTCTCTTTACTGTGTCAGGCAGGCTAATGTAGAAAGAGCCGTGCCTTAACTTGCTGAGTGGTTTTTTTGGTTCTGGGGTTTTTTGTTGGTTTTCTTTTTTTGTTATGGCAGGCAGTTGCATGGAGATCTTGATGGTGACATTACTTGGCAAACATTTTGGAATTAGCTCAGCATGTGACATCACACCCCCTTAAGCTTTTCCACATAAAATACATCCTCTCTTCCCCCCCCCCAAAAAAAAAAAAAAAAAAAAGAAAATTGAGACTTAATATGAAATCTGTTATTACATCCTCTAAGGTCTCATTAGACACCTCAGTATTCCTCCCTCTTCCCACCATTTTCCAGGCAGCTAGACTAAATGCTGCAGATGATAGTGGTAAACGTTTTATAGTGTTCTTGGGGAAGGGGGAGGGAGGGGTATGGAGAAGGGGTGGGGAAGAGAGTTTTAATCCCTTGTCTATCCTGTTTAAAAAAAAAAAGATAATTGCAACGACTCTGATGCTTAGTCTTGTCTTCTGTGCAGTTTTTCACACAGTGTGAGCACATGCATATGATGTAAGGTTTTGTCACTTCTAGCAACTGTAGTTGTTTAGCTCTGTCTCTAAGAGATGTGTGTCTCAGATTTTGAGAAAAAGGCAGCAGAGATGAGAAATTCCATTGATCTCAGGCTTTGGTTCCTGATACAATGATGTTTCCTAAGAACAGTTCATAGTACGTGCTCCTCTGTGTGTGCTCGTGCTTGCCTACCTCTGTGTACATTTTTTTCTGGGAAACAAAGGGTTTTTCTCCCCAACCTCTGTAGTTTCAAGGCTTAAACGTGGCTGGGTACTGGGTGGGAAGCACATGTGCTGTCTTTGATAGACGTGCAGGAGAGAGGTGCAGTGCAGAGTGCGAACACTGCCAAAATACGTAGAACATGATGTTACGCAGGCGAAGCAAAGGAAGAATTATCTATGCATAATGTGAGTTTAGAATAGGCTTGACGTTCTCACACCCAAACATTTCCATCTGTTCCTAAGTGAAAGGAAACTGAGACAATATTCTCCTATCTTCTGGACTAGCTATCCAGGGAATAGGAAATGTTCTTTGATATTTTTTTCCTTAGGATGTGTTCAGTTTTACTGCAGATTCAGAAAAACCACAGTATAAAGTTGCTTTTTTAAAGACAGTAAATTACATTAAATTATTAAATTCTTCTGGCAGTTGGTATTGATATTTTCAGACTGTGCTTAAACAAGCTGTGATGCTTTTAGGTTACACTTTATAATAAAGTTGGATTTATGGGTTTTATGCAAATCCTGATTCGAGAACTTTGCCATCCTTATTATCAAAGCTTTCCGTAAATTATCCTCTACTTTTGCTTCCTCTCTCTGTCTAACAAACACCTGCTTATCCTCATGTCTTTTTCTTCTGCCATCAGAGGCTGCATGCCTGATTTCTGTTTTTCTATTACTTACATACTGCTGAAGTGTATAATGAGCATCCAAAACACACTGAAAGGTTCACCTGTGCCTGCCCTGTTGGTTGTAACTTTATACGTTTGCATGTCTCCCTGTTTTCTCTACGGTGTAACATTCACATCATCCTGCAAAAGTGCTGAAGAATCTGCCAACTGTTTGTCCTACCTCACCTGCTGATGGAGATGTAGGCATTATTATTATTAAGAAGTAATTAGTCATGTTTTCACAGCTGAACTCTCAAAAGATAACTCCGCAAATATTTCTGAATTTTAGTGGATGCAGGGTAAGAAAGCAGACAAATCCTTAGATGTAATGTTAAATTGTACATACTTCTTAGTATTGTGGCAACAGGTAGCCTTACCTTTCACATTCTTGTTCCAGCAAGTTTGTAAACTCATCACTTTTTTCCATGTATTTGCTGTGCTTCCTCTTCTCTTCCTCTAGTTCATACAGTGTCTGTCTGTGTGATTTTTCTACCATTACAAGTTGATCCAGCATTCGTCTGTGAGTTTCTTTCTGTTTCTCTACAACTTTATCAAGCTACAAAAGAAGCAAAAACTCCTGAAGTATTTTGAAACTTTTGCTTTGCTTCATTATTGAAAAATTTTAAGAGTGGCATAATATGATAATAATATGAACTGCACTTAATAGCCTAATGGCCAGGTCTTTCGGTATCCGTTTGGAAAGGTTTATTTAATTCTGTCAGTCTAATTCTGACAAATTTGAAAAATAAGGTACTGTTTTGCAGGACCCTCAGTTGCCTTCTTTTCCTCCTCCTGCCATGACTGTTCCTCAACAGCTACTAATTAACAGTTACTGTTCCCAGGGCTGTGCTTTTCTCATTGATCATTGTGGTAGAGAAACCAGATGTCTTGGCAGAAGTAGCCTCGTCCACTGCTTCACACAGTGGATGACTGGCTTTTGGTTGAATAGAAATAGCTGCCTCACTTTTAACTGCATAGGAAATAAGAGCATTAAATTGTTTTTGTAAGGGTAGGCAGGTACATCAAAAAGCAGTTTTCTGGTTTGACAGTAAATGCATGGTAGTGCCAAGAGTGGAAAACAATCCTGTCTCTTGTGCTTACTCTGAGCATGGCTCTGGGTTTCTGTAATAAGTAAGTGCTAAATTTTTTAGTAGTTAGAAGTACTTCTTTTTAACAGCATCATTTCCTGTTTTGTTCCTCAAATTGCACATGTTGTTAAGGTCTTCGTCTTACAGATGGCGCCTTTATAGCACACTTTGAGCATCAAATCCCCTCCCCTTCGTCAAAGATTTCTGCTTGACTTCTAATCATAGATTCATTAGGATTGGAAAAGACTTCCAAGATCATCAAGTCCATCTTTTGACTGAACACCACCATGCCAACTAAACCACAGCACTAAATGCCACATTAAGTCATTTCTTGAACACTTTCAGGTGACTCCATCACCTCCCTGGGCATCCCATTCCAATGCTTGACCACCCTTTCAGTGGAAAATTTTCAGTTTTTCTAAACATTGTTATGTAGCAGTACTTTAAATCAAACAATCTGTTTTAGGTTTTGGTAATCAGTTTTAGTTTTTCTGAACCACAGAGTTGTTGGCGGAACTGTTCGTTGGACCTACGCTGTTAAACTAAATAATCTCCACAAACAGAGATAATTCTGGGGATTCTGTTGTAATTTTGAATTCAGTATGTGACCAAGTTATACAAGTGTGTGTGTGAAACCATAAGTGGTTTTCCTCTTTAGGCATTCCTGATCTAGCTGACGTTTCAGGGAGGATCACTGGAGGCCATCTAAAGACCTGGAAAAGTCTGTATTTGTTAGCAGCTTTGTTCCCTGCTTGTTCCCCTTTGGAGAATCCTTCATTAGGTCATCATAGGAGTCCCTGTAACCTTTTTGGAAAGGAGATGTTTTGAGCTCACAGCCCAGTGCCTTCTTTTAACCACAGTCTATTCTAGTAGGTCAATCTGATTGTAGTGCTTCACTCAATTAGCAGAAAAGAATTCACAAATGGGCAGTGTGGGAAGAAGCAAAGCTGGTTCTGGTTCTCTGATGCTTCTCCTACAAGGAATTCCATGTGCCACAAGAAACGGTGGATCTTCATATTCTTAGGGCCACTACTTATTTTGGACAATTTAATTCCAAGCAGTATGATTAATTATATTTTCCTCGTGTTTATTCACAGTTTGGCCAATAGAAATGATGACAGGAAGAGCTGGAATGCCTAAACATGAGTTCCTTGAATAAGTAAAGATATCATCTATTTCTCCATAGACTTCCAAGTCTCCCCCTGCTTATCTCAGCTTTTTTTTTAAAGCTATATATATTCTCTTATGTTTCTCCTAAATAATTAACTTTTTGTTGACACTGCTATGAAAAGAAAGAAGAGCTATTGACAAGACTTTGAATATGGTTTGAGTCCTGCATATTCCAACAAAAACGTGGATCATTTTGAAAATTTCCTGCACTTTTAACTTCTGACATTGAGAGAGCCTTTTGTGTTGTAACATAGCTGAGCTCATTTCATGCCTGATCAAGAAATACTAAGAAATCTATGGGGGAGTTTTTTGTTGTTGTTTTGGCTGGTTTGTGATGCTCTTACAGCAGATCATTTAGGTATTTTTCATCTTGCTCACTAATAATTTGTACACTTTATAGCATCAGAGTGACTGCTTCCTGGAATCATAATCCTGAAGCAGGACCTCTCCTGGGAAAACATTTCTTACCTAAACCCTTGCATATGCAGACTTTCTCAGTAAGCAAGTGCTGCCTTATACAGTAATCTTTTGGCTGTGTTTTCAGTATCTTTTACAGAGGTTGATCTGGATTGCCTTAAAAGGTCAGGTTGAAGAAAACTGTCCATATTAATTTCCTCACACTCTCCCTTATTTTAGCAGAAGTGGAAATTTCACGAATTGAAATCTTTCGTTCAGCTGCTAATTTATCAGCAAGGGGTTTTATCAACCTTCCCCCTCCCCCTTCCTTCAAGATTTTGGAAGGATTTTTTTGAAGAATTATTGTAGATGCATGAAGCACCATCACCTCAGTTTCTGATCCTCATCTTTTAAAAGATCCTGCTGTCAGGTGAATTTACACTGTTCTCAGAAAGCAACCCGGCTCCTGTTTTCTGATAAAGTTCTGATGCAGTGCTGCTTGCAACTATGGCCCTGTCTGGCTTAAATTGGTATGAACTGGGCATCAGCTTTGCATGAGTACTTGCTGATCACAGCCATCAGTGTGAGGTCAGAAGGGAGGAAGGCAAAGGCTTGAACTTCCAACTTCTTTTGGCAGGCAGTCTGCATGGATGGGGTTAAAAAAGTAGAGATAAGCATTTGTGTGGATTGGAGCACCACGTCCAAAGTACATGTAAGAATCAAAGGCGATGTGTAAGTTGCTATCATAAGAAAACTGAAATTTGTGGAAACAAGCTGATCATAAATCAAATGAGCCTGGTTCTGAACATGTAATTGCTTGATAGAGATGGGAGTTAGTCATCAACCAAGCAACAGTAACCAAGTATAAAATAATTCTGCTTCTGCGCTGTTGGGTGTAAAGGATGTGGGACTTGCCAGCGGGGTTTTATAGGTTCAGTATATTTTGTTTGCTCTGGAGTATTTGTTGAATGGCTATGAGAGGTTAAGTGAAGCAGTAATCCAAGCAGCATGTATGCAAGAAGTAACTCCAGGTTTTTGTTTTGCAGCTCTCAGTGAGCAATGCCTTTCACTTCACGGTAGTGCATTTGTCAGTGTTGCGATTACAACCAGTTTGGATTACAAACTGGTTTTTGGGATGGGTGAGGTGTGTATTCAAGGCAGGGAAGTGGAACGAGGAATTTTAAAGGGGGAAAAAGAACAGTAGTGTCCTGGGGAGACCTGCTTATAATAAAGGGTAAGAGAGAAAAGTAAGTAAGCTGCTGCATTAAAACAGTTTGCATATTGCAGTTTTCTCCTGTTGCTCGGATTAAGAGATGCATTTAGATTCCTTTTGCAGCACACTGCCAAATGAGTTCTGCCATGGGAGTTTGGCTGTTGTGGCTGGGAACAAGGTGGAGGGAGTGAGCTTGTGATTCCATCTGGGAGAGAAGAAAAGAAGTGCTGGGACTGTCACCTGGTACAGGTGGGCCATAGAGCACAGAACTGGAGAGACAGCAGATCCTACGTCACAATTAATGCAGACACTTGAGATCTGCATATAAGATGTGTAATGGGTATGGGCATTTGGCCTTGTGGCACCTGTGTGTGTTCCTGTGCAGCACCTCTCCCTCCCTGCAGGAGCAAGCAGAGCAGAACCTCGTACTGGGTTGCTGAACTTCTGTGTGGTTTGTTGGGAAACTCTGTTGTGTTCCTCAGCGAAATAAGGGCACCTCCCTGGTCAGCAGATTTGACTTTTGCATTTTCCTTGTGGGATCTTGTGGCTGACTCCCATATATCCAGCAGGGAAGAGGGAGAAGTTGTGTGAACCCCTGCTAGTGTGAGATCCTCACACGGAAGCATCTCCAGCAGCCCTGGGTTCCTCAGATTACTCTGTCCAAATGCTAAATCTGCCCATGCAGAAATATCCATTTATATGAACACACACAGGATTACTCAGGCTACACAGTTCTTAGCTAAAAACCACAGAGGACTAATAAGCAGCAGTATAAATGTCTTCTGTTGAAAATTAAAGTGATAAAATCTTAATTAAGTGATTTGTTGTTTTGTTCTTCCTAACATATGGGCTTTTCGCTAGAATTAATACTTGAACAGGCTGTACAGTACAATGGAAAATAAGAGGCATAGCCTTACGTAACTGTGAATAGTTCAGCAAGCTAAAATTTCACACAAATTTAATAGTTTAAATACATTTTGCCTCCAACTCGTGTCTGAAGTCAAACTAGGATGGTATATCTCAAATCCATTACATTGGATCTGAACTCTTCATCTTCCTCTTTTTAGACTGTTTTGTGGTGTTACATTTCTTTATCCAAAGTCCAGGGTAAAAGCATTCTCAGGGTCACTGTTTGTAAGTGTATAACCCTGAGTTTAGGATTACCAGAGACTATGTGAGCACTTGCCTTTTTCAACCCTGGCTGAGCCAAATTTCCATGCAGATATGTTGGTCTTCTTTTCCTGAATGCTGCATTGTCAACAGGCTCTTCCTCTGACTAAATTATTGGTGTTCTACAGCTGTCGTCCTTGGAAAGGTTTGACCAACACTTAGAAGATTTTGTGAGGATACAATCAGATATACTGTCTTAGAAGGCTGATGAGGGTGCATCTTTCCCCAGGTTGATTGGCCTTGGGATTTTAAAAATGGATTATATTTTTAATTACCCTTCATGGATGCAGAATATAAGCTTTCCTCTAGTTTTGCTGCTTTTAAGGAGATCTCCAAGTGGTAGGAGTTATTGTTCATCCCATTTCAAACAGTAAGGCACCCACTTTTTTTTAATCTTTTGGCTGTGTTATTGGAAGCTGGGGACAGTGAGAAACCGGAATCTGCTTTCTAATTCTATGAAGGTTTGAAATATGAGAAAAAGACACCATTAGTTCTGCAGTATCTTCCTCTTTATGTCTTTTTTCCTACATCACCTTCTCTGATATTTTTTTGATTCTTTAATAAAAAACCTGGGGTTTTTTGAGTGTGGGAAAATGATTCTTATATTATTATTCTGTATTTACTAGAATGTTGAATACTCTTTGTTTTCTATTCAAGAGAAGTGGCAATTGATCTGAAGACAGATTTTTTGGTGAATAACTGACTTGGTCTCAATTTATAAACTGTGCAAAGATGGAAAATCTTTTCAGGGCTTTTAGTCAGAAGCAAAAACAAAATGAAAGCCTGTTTTCTTTTATGCCCCTCAAGTGTGAGGAGTAAGACTAAGCTTATCTGATAGAAAGAAATAGCTGTAGAGCAAGTTTGACTGAAAAAGCCCTCAGTTTTTAAAAAAGTAAATGAAAAACTCTCCTCTTAGGAAAGGAAAACATGGTTTTAGTCTGTCACACTCCTCATACATTTTGCAAAGGAAGATGTATTACTGCTGTTTTCGGATTTGCTACATTTCTTCACCTATGAATCCTGTTCCCAATGAGTAAAATTGTCTAGTCACCAGATTTTCCCACTACATTCTCAACCAAATTTGCCAAGAAACTTAAAGATTAGAATATATAAGAAAGTTGTGAGAGGATGTTGCCTTCTGAAATTCATTGTATTTTCACTTGAGTTTTGGGAAGATCCTCTGTGTTTGGGGCTACAAGGCTAAACTGTCAAGGGTGAGATGCACAGGCAGATACAAAGGTATGGCAAAGGGCAAATTTAAATGGTCTGTTCCCAGACTTTGTGGCTGATTTCATCTCTCAGTTGATTTGCCTGTATGTTTTAAAAATACAAAAAAACCTCTAAGTGTATTTCTGACATAATTTAGGGGGATTTTGAAAATGAAATTGTGGAATGCCTGCCTTCTACAGCATCCTTTGGTTTACCAAGACCAAGGAGTGGCCAGTGGTCCTTCTAGCCTTTCAGTTGCTCTCACGATATTTAACTTTCTTTGCCTTTTGAAATTGCCAAATCCAATGGTGTTAGAAATTCTTTCTCTGCCATTAATTGTGAGAAGGAACAAGTGTGTATAAACTTTACATGTAAAGTAACAGACTGAGCTTGGGTTTTCAAACTTCTTTCGACTTCTCCTCAAATTATTTCCATTTGTGCTCAAAGTTTCTGTGACATAATGCCACAATGTTAAAAATAAATTAACCTTTACACTTGAACTTTGCCTGTTTCAGATTATATCCAGAGATTTTAACCTTTGAGCTTCTGAAATGAGTGTTGACCTTTTGCCTCCTATAATTTTCTCTGAAATGATCTCTGTATCCTTGGGTACATTTCTGCTCAATTTGAAAAACGCTTGGTAGGAGAATTTTATTCATAGTTTCTGCTTTTATTTTTATGGTGTTTATTTATACTGAGCAGCACATTAAAAAATGTTTATGTGAATTGGAGACAATTAGCCAGGATAAAAAAACACATTCTGATGTGAAGGGGTTTTAATATCCAGTGATTTGCATTGCAGGGCGGAAATTATTCAGATAACATTGTTCAGAAAGTATGGTGGCTGCTGCTGCAGTGTAATTAAACTAAATGTTGCTTAGGTGTAATGTGAGAATAATAGATTCCTGCCTGGATGAAGTTTCTAATGCCAGCTTATTATAGTAACTACTCAGACCAAGAAGGTCTGTGACTTCCCCCCAAATTAGTGGGAGCTGGGATATGCGAAGGTAGACAGCTGTGTCATTTCTGCTGAATGGGCACCTACTGGCAGTGGCCTTCAGGAACAAAGTGGGATCAAGGAAGCTTCTGTTTGTATGGGCTGTGAATACGGATGACGGAAAGGAGGGTTGTTGGGGGGGAAGATGATGGTGTCAAGAATAGAATGCTGATTACCAGAGTCTGAATTAGACAGAATCATGTCTCTCAATGCGCAAAGCCCCCAGTACAAGTGAGGATCATTAAATTTGGGTCCCAGCTGGAATCTGGACTTTGTTCTGCTGTCACTGACACTCCTTTTAAATATCAATTACTTGTTCTTACCTCTCCCATAGGTTTTTCATAGATATCTTCTTGCCATTGCTCAGCCTTTGTTTGAATAGCATCTCGCTGGAGTGCCTCTAACACCTTCTTGGGAGTAACAAAGCCATATTGTGCTTCAAGCAAAGCCAAGTCAATTTTTTCAGCCTTAAGTACTCCTATAACTTCATCTTGGGCCTGCAGAAACACAAAGTAAGGCTTTGTCTTGTTAAACTTTATAAATGTCTCTACAGGCTAGTTCTCTGCTTTTGATTTTAAGAAAACTGAAAAACATTGTAAATATTCCTGTATATGTAAAATGACCCAAAATAGTAATGTGAAGACAGTTGAAAAGCATGAAGGAAAGTATTGATCTTTGTATTTTGCTTGTTCAGTATAGACTCCCCAAAATCTTCAGAACCTTCATCAAAGCCTAAGAACTTTGTTAATGATGACATTGTATTACTTTTAGCGGACCAGCGTGTAGCATTCACAAAACAAAATTTCAGTGCAAAGTTTGACTTGTAGTATTAGAAACTGACTTCAAATTGTTAGTGCAAGATGCTAGGATGCTTCTTGAAGCCTGAAAGTGTCGTACATTCTGTATGGTTTGGGTGCAGATGGCTTCTGTAGTTTAATCCCCTTACAGACGTGTCCACGTCTGGTGTTTTTCCCCCACCCTGCATCCTCTGGTGGTGGAGGTTGTCCCCTGCCTCTATTGCATTGACTGACATAACTGCATGCACTGTCTCAAACATCCATTGTCTGCAATGATCTCAGTTGGAAAAAAGTATGTGCTAATCCTAGAGGGGTAGAATAGGAAGGAAGGAAATCAGAAAGAAGGATGTATACGAAAGGATAACACTTTCATTCTGGCTCCTTTTGGCTGGAAGACTTCTGTATCCCTATTTATGACTTTTAAAACAAGTTCAGAATACAAGGTAGTCTATTTCTAATCCTTTGCACTATGAGAAAAAAGTATAAGAGTGATCTTTGGGCATCTTAAATGTTCTGGAATTTGGCAAGTGATGGCATCTAACTTAGAAACATAATTATGGTTGGATTGACAGCTGATCTTCAGAGATTTAACTTGGCATTACAGGAGGTAGAAAACTAGGAATAAAAAGTGACTTCTTGCCTTTTTCATTCATAGTGTTTCCTCTGGAATTTCAGACATGATTTAAAATGTTCACGTTAGCCTCATTGTTTCCTGGTTTCTCATTTCACTCTATTCCAATTTTAAATCTTAAGAATTGAAGTGTGTGTGTGTATGTATATTTATATATTTATATTACACAAGTGTAATGAATAACGTGCATGTAATATAAATAAACATATTTATATGTATTTAAAAAAATCTCTCTTACTGAGAGGAAGAGAGAAGTGTTCTGGAGGATTGTGTGACATCTGAATTTTATCTAAATTAAGAAAGGCCAAATGAGCAGGAGAGAAGTGTTTTGCAAACATGAAAGTTGTTCTGTTTGCATAATGGAACAATCTGTAGAAGTTTGCCTTGGACCTACCCTCAGAGATTGGTACATCTATTAAATATTTATATCACCTGCGTGTTCTGTTAAGCATGTATGTGTTATTACATAAACATATACACATATGTTAAGAATAGAACTACCCGGGCACTGTTTAGGGAATAAACTCTGAAACCATGTGCTACACCCATTTATACCCCTTTGGCCAGTTTGCTTTTTCCTCTGCCTGTGAGCAGTTTTAAAGTGGCTGTCATTACTTCTGTGCAATAAGCCTGTCACAGAAGTATTTTACTTGCTCACTGGAAATCTGGTTCCCACTTCCTGCAATTACGTTTGACCAGGTTAGGCATCATTTACCACTTGACAGCTGGTTCCTTTCCTAGGTAGGAAAATGCTCTCTCTTCAAAATCCAGTGTCTTGTGGGCTAAGTGGCATGCAACACTTATGCTTCATATTATGGGAAATAAAATGGCTATGTTGATTTTTCTAGCAAAAGATGTTAGAACACTGTTGAGCAAGTTACTTCTTGCACAGTCTGGCACATACTGATTCTTAGGGAGTAATGCTCATGACTTCATAGGAGAGGGGGGATAAATAATTAAATAAAAGATCTTAAAGGTTTGTAATATGTTCTCCATATCAGTTTTACAGTGACAAACAGTCTGTATTCAAAAGATTTAGAATGGGGCAGCACAACTGGAAAGTTTTGTGAGTTCTCGGCTTTGAGAAGTTACGTGGGGTATAAAGATCACATTTCCCATCTGATAGCTCTAAGAGCTATAATTTTAGGGGGGGAGGGGTACTTTGCAGTTCATATTTGTCCTGTATCAGATTAGGTGAGGTGTTTCCTTAGCATAACATCAGCTTGTGTTTGTGGTTCATGGGCAAATGCGGGGCTGGGATGGTGTATCTTTTAACTTGAAATGTAAAATAAGACAATACATTACCTGTAATTCACCCTCGAGGACACTAAGAAGAAATAGCAAGTCATCACGAGAGAGATCCTCCCTTTTCTTGAAAGAACTTCTTTGTTTTTTCTCTGCCTTAGGGCTTCTTAGGATTGTACTGGCTTGGGCTCCCTCGTCCTTCTCTTTCTGCTGCCTTTGCACATTTCCTCTCCCACTGTAACCAGCCTCTTCCTTACGCTGATCTTTTGGCCTTGGCTGGCTCAGCTTTGGTCTGGTTGGGCTTTCGGTGCTGTTGCTTCTGGAATGCATGGTTTGTATCTCTGAAGCTGGAGGAAGTTGGGGAAAAAAGTAATTGTTTTAACTAACAGAGATTATAAAATTATCACTATAGTTGATGGTGGGTGTTGGTACCTCCACAGTAGTAATTTTCCCTCCCACACAGGGCTGTTTGTCATTCAACAAAAGCTGACAACCTTGTGTAAACCAACAGGACTGGGCTGTGATCCTTGCTGAGTGTCTGTAGTGAAGTGAGTCTGTACTGGTCTTAACACCTTGTAGCAATTCCCTCCTCAGCATTTGCAAAGGGAGCATCTTTAGCAGCAGTGCCAGGCACATCACCACACACCACATTTTCCATAAGAGACAGGGCCTGCCTCACCCTTCAGGTAAATACTTATTATGATGAGGCAAATTTAGATTTAGAAGGTTTTCACTAGGAAGATCTTTCTGTTCTGAGCCCTTACAGTATTCTGTTTTTACTTGTCTTTCCAAGGGAGAGCACAAAAGTGGTCCTCCACTACGAGTTATGTGGTTGCATTATCCATGTTTGGCAAAATGTAGGGGTTAGCAAATACATCCAGGCTGCAAAGAGTGAGCAACACTGGAAATGCTGCCTCCACAGCACCACCACTACCACCTCCAAAACCAAACTACCTTGCCATTCATGACTTATCCAGCTCTGAAAACCATGTAGTATAAAACCTTACTATATTTCTTAAGCACTCTAGAGGTGTTAGTACCTGGTAGAAGGGAGACTTAGCCTAACTAGGCCCCTTTGAAGTGCCACTGTTAAGGAAACACACTCTAATGCCTTTGCAGATAAATGACTAACACTGTGTAAATATTGATTAACCTCAGGAACTCTGTTTTGGTTATCACCACTTAGATTAAGGTGTGAATGGATTATAGTGCAGCTCTACTGGAAAACCGTGGTCATAGATACCATCTACCAAACAAAAACCTGATCGTGTGATTCAAAGGTGAAATTAAACACGTTCCAAATACAAATAAGGCACAAATCTTCTTATTAAACTGTAAAGCTAATTGCTGCAAGGTCCAGAAAATAGTTATGGCCTATGATAGGCAGGAGATGACTGTGTAGCTGCCTTTTGACCCAACAAATCTGTGGCTGATAAAGTTCTTCCCAAGCATCCTCCCCCACTCCCTTCCACCAGATTCTAAATCCTAAACCCTGTGACTGCTCTCCTTAACTGTGGTAATTTTCCACTCAATGCTACAAACAGTTCCTTTTGTTGTTTTTCTGCAAGAACAGAGGAGGTGGAAGAAGCTTTTGGTTTCTAATGGATGATGACTGAGAGTGGGGAGAATTTATCAAAATTTTACAAAAAAAGCAAGTGACATTTTCTGTAGTGCTGAAGTCTCTTCTAGTCTGATTTGAAGCACTCATAATAGCTTGTATTCAGTTAGAAAACCTTGATTTTTCCAGGTGTCAAAAAAGTAAGGCTTGTCAGATTTGCATGGCAGTGTGCAGTGGAACCTGTTGTGTGAAGCATCAAACAGTGTCACGTTAGGATGGGAGCTTGTTATAGTGCATGGAGGAAATGTAGAGTTGTTCGTAGCAGGATGGCAGTGATGTTAGCTGGGTGATGATTAGTTTGTGTTTATCCTAGTGTTCATTCTGGTTCATTCATTCAAATATAGTTTCCCTTTATTTGCTGTGGTCTGCTTGTTAGTCTTACTCGCCTTTTGCACATTGCTGATGGAGTAATATTACTTTGGAAGAAGACCATTGGTTTCCTTTGAGCGTAAGATGCTGAAAGCCTGCTTGGCTTTTGTGTACAGTTAAAGGCTTGTGTTTATAAGATGCAGGAATTTGTAAGATAAATTAGGTAACCTGAATGCACTCAGAGTTTGTCTGTGTGCTTTGCTGCCGCAAGCACAGGACACTGTGAAAGGCATAAATAGTCCAAGAAGTTCTTGTGGTTTTCTGTCATAGGTGCCAGTTGCAGCAGCAATCTCAGCTGGACATGAAATTGCTATCATACTTGTTGACAACAAGTGTCAATATGACATTTCTTGTAGAAGGAAAAACAAAGCTGTATTTAAGGAGGAGTTTTGTACCTTTTCAGACTTTTTGAGCTGGCTGCACCTGGAAATTCTAAACTTGGAAAGACAGTAGTCTCAGCAATCCTGCCAAGAAGGACAGCCTCCCCTGCATTTTCTCTTACACTGTATGCACGCTGTTGGCTTCAAGACACCATGCCACACAGTTTTTCACAGCTGCAGAGGGATAGCTGTGACTCCCTTTTAGGCTTGTCATGCCTCCTTCCTAATCAGGTAAATCAGTCCTTATTGCACTGGCAAAAGGCACTTAGTCCCTGTGAAAGCTGGATGACTTGCCAGATAGGCTGCATTCCCATGGGGATGGTGTCTTTGCAGTCTCCCAGAGAGCATTTTCATTTTCTTGTTGAGAATTCTTGCATACACTTTTACTGTCTTCTGACATTGCTGAATGCCAGTGCCAACTATCGAATCTGCTAATGCAAATATTTATCAAATTGAGCAATTAGCATGAATTATTAGAGGTTGAAGTGACATGCTAAATGTATGCCTTAAGCACTTTTTTTAATGGTGCTTGAATGTAGCTGGAAGAGGCACACAAGCACTCTGGTAGTAGTAGCCTGCTTTACTAACACATTCTTTCTCAGTTGATTTATGTAAGCCTTCTGATTACCTGCACATTGACAGGCATTATTATTTGTGGTGTTGTCTGTTTACATAAGGATGCTAGTACTAGTGTGGTTCAGAGGAGGTAGGTATGAGTAACAGAAGGGCAATTCTGAACTGATTACCTCACAGTGTAGCTGCTGGTGTAGCAAAGCGGGACCTCAGAAATGGACAAAAATAAACATTCCATCCAGCTACCTTGACATTCAAGATAGAAGTAGTGTCATTTGAAATTTTCCACATGTGTTATTTTGGTATGTTGGGTTATTTTCTGTTTTGAGCAACTCTTTCCATGTTTTTGAATGGTAATAGAAGAATAACTCTTTTTTTCCCCACAAGGTAAAAATGTTAATAGACTCATAAAATCTGTGACTATCAATTGTCTCAGGCACCCAAAATAGTGAGCCCAGGCTCTCAAAATTAGACTAATTAGCATAAAATTTGCCTTTTTGCGTATCTGTCTGAACCTATTTTCACTCACGTTCTATAATGATATACAGGAAAGCTGTCGTGCAAAAAAGAGGTAAGGAAGAAGTGTTTCTTTTTGTAACAGAGATTGTAGTTCACAGAGGCTCTGTGATTTCTCCTGGAGAACTGACTCTTTCATCTTGTGGTAAACTTCTGCATAGCAGCTAATTCAAGCCCTGTTACTCTGTACCACCTAGAAGGATGATGGTATGAGATGCCTTAGAAAACAGTAAACAACAACTACTAAGAAAGATTTGATCAAGTGTGCAAGCCTTGCCTTGCGCTTGTGATCTTTCATCTGTTTTGGGTCAGTTACTAAAAAGCAGAGATTGTAGATATGTGAACAGAAGAGAAGAGTACTTGCCAGCATTTTCATACAATGCACTGTGAACCCTTGCTTGCGTCAAAAATAAAAGAAGATTGGAAGGGATGATCCAGATCATGAAGTCATCGTCTGCTGAAATCATAGACCACCGTGCAGTGGGTACTTAATAGAGATTAATGTTCCATAATTGTGCTAATTGAAGAGCAGAAGTGTGTTATGCACTTTTGGGCTTTCCTTCACGTTATGAGATGTCTGTTTTACTGAAGATTTTGCACTGGTATCTTGCTTGAAGTCACAATGTATGGGTGCCCAGACTCACTGGATTCCCTGCAGCTTGGTAGGCTAGTTCTAGATTCAAAATGGAGTGAGGATGGGTTACCTTGAAACATTCTGCTAAATCAAATTATTGCAAGTAACACACTCAGCAAAGTTTGGATCTATTCTCAGTGTTCATGTTCTTGTTTGTTTTATAATTTGGTTTCTGTTCTGCTTTTTAAAGACCTTGCTGATTTCTGAACATGTGGTCCTTCTGCATATAAAGGAGAAGTTTTCCTCTTCTTGGTGATGAACAAGTAATCTGAAGGGTCAAAAATATACTTTGCTTAGGAGATGGATGAATAAATTACCAAATGTTTCTATGATGTTAATGTGGTCTCCACCCTCTCGATCATATTCTGAAGGAGATGAAACTGCATTTGTCTCTTTGGCAGCGGTGAATAAGCAGGTGGTTCAGAAATCCCTGCACTTTTGTGGGAAAACCCGAAATACCCTTCAGAGATGACTTCATTATTGGGTTTTAAGAGACATCCTTTTTTCTCCCATTTATTTTCCCCTTTAGTGTTTTCTCTTTCTCAGTGATTTGACTTATGAGCTAACAAAATCCCTCACAGGACCAAATCTTCCCTTAATCCCAGGGTAAGGACCCTGAATAGTTGAGAACTTGCTGTTTCTTCCAAAAATCTGTGACTAAGCAAGAAATCATGTCTTTCTGGTTTTTAACATCCCTTAAAGGGCAATGCTTTTGATTTGCTGAAATTGATAAGACTCCTACCAATAGAGTGACTTTTAAGTGAGATGTGATTGCTCATCATACCAGTGTAATGGGAAAGTGCAAAGAACATGATGTCTTTTGGAAATGACTATGTAGTTTGGGGCAAGAAAAATGGTGGTCTCACCTTAGTTGATACAGGTCTACCGACTATCTTTTCCCTTCCCTGTGTAGCAAAGCCTACTTTGAAGCTTCATGTTCATACCTCAGGAGAAATTAATCTCCTGTCCCTGTTCATGTGTGGCTGTATGACAGGTAGTATCCAGGCATGGGAAGGCACTTCTGACTGAACCACATCACATCCTCCACTAGAAAAAAAAGCTTGTTTGTCTTCTTCTGTAGTCCTGGTGTGGCCTCTAGGGTAGCAGATGAGCCTTGCTGAACTGTGGGAGAACATGAAGAAGTCTTTTTATTAGTTGGAATCCCAGGATCTGTCCCTTTCACAGCATCACTGGTGCCTTCTGACAGAATGCCTTTAGGACTTTCATTCTTCCCCTAAGTGGAAATACATTTCTTTG